GACTTCGAGTGTACCAAGCTAATTTGCATAGTTATTCACACATTGTTTGTGATTCTCGGTATTGTCACTTACGTATAGACAAATAGTTTTCAATTGGATTATGGCATCCATCTTCCAAATTGTAAATTACTGTGTTAGGTCCTAGACTTAATATTTCATTTGGGTGTTATGTTAAGAACTTAAATCAACATAACTTGAATTTCTCCCTTGTAGATGTCTAGTTCAGACATTTATGGTCTTCCCAAATCTTATGCAAAAAACTTTCCTCAAGAAGATTATGTTCCACGATTGGATCATGGAAATGGAAATCATACTTCACTTCCTCCACCTCCTCCAATACTTCTCCCTGACCCACATACTCGAAATTTTGAAATGTTCGAGGTCACTCAAACCGTATTAACTAGCAAACACCAAGATGGAAGGTCTATGTGTGCACATGTCTTGGAGATGAAGCCACATATTGGCAGGCTGGGAATGTTAGGAGCCGTTGTGTCGAGGAAGTTGTTTGTTGACTTGGTTCTTCATTCACTTCCTGAGTCGTATAGTCAGTTTTTTAAAGACTACTATGTAACAGACCGCGATGTGACCCATATTGATCTTACCTATTTGCTAATTGCTGCTGAATAAGAAATGATTTGGCGCACTGGTCAAGAAAATTTGATTGGAAGATCTACCTCCCAAACATCCATAGACATTGACAATGGAAACATTAGAAGTCCAGAAAGGTCTTCTCTTCCCAATGGAAAGGGAAAGACTAAGTGTGAGATTGTCTCGTGTTCTATTCTAAAATAATTTGTTTGCTTCTACTACCAAGAGAAGTAGCATTGGTTGCGGAGCTGCCGTATCAACCTAAAGGATCACAAGGATGGTAAAGTCAAAGTGTTTGACTCTGCTTCAGCTAAGTCCACTATCTAACTCTATTAGGTTCCTATTTGGAGATTCTTAATACTTGATGTAATGTAATTACATTTTGATGTTTTGTAGGATCGAAGAAAAGAAAGGAAGCTTAATGGAAGTGTAAGTTGAATCTGACTGCAAAGAGATGGATTTGGATCGCATGGTTCGATGATCGGATTTTTGAGCTGCTACTTAGGAGTTATGATAGATTGCTTAGAAATATGTGGTAACATAGTTTTCATTTGTAATTTATTGTAAAGACAAGCTTTTCTACATTTTTTATTTATAAAGATTTCTTTTTGAAATTTATCTTATTTTATATTTCCTTGCAATGACATTTGTGAAAATTGATGTTTGTTAGCAATGTTGAAAATGGATTTGATTCTTTTGTTTTTGGTAGTGTCAAGATTTACCAAATAAGGAAAGATTCTCATCACCCAAGTTGCAATTGGACAAAAACTTGGAATCATGCAACTTATACTGCATGATGAATAAGAACTTTTGCCTTTGGGAAATTAAGACTAATTCTTTGTTCATATATAGATGTGAGTCAAGTGAAGGACTAGGGGATCTAGTACACATTGTTGTGCTCTGTTCCAGGTCCACCATAAAGAAGAATAAGACTATTCATGATGATTTACTAAGAGTTTAGTGAATATCGCTATGCTTACAAGATTAAATGTAATCCTGAATCATTGAATTTTTTTAAATGTATAGCAGAATGAATAAGAAGAATCAATTAGTTAGAAAGATAGAAGTTTCTCCAATTTAAAAGGAAAGTAGAGTAGTTTAGTATCGTGTTTATGATCATCTTAATGATTATGGAAACCATATCACAATTGATCCTCTAAGGACACCTTAGTTCACTTGTATGGCTAAGAAAAGGAATCGGTAATTGTTGAAATGGTTAAATCAATTACTGTGAGTCATACTTCATTACGAAATTGAGTCTTAGTTTCATACTCCAAGATTGTGAATTGAGTTACATATCTTAAGTAGGTTTATAACACATCATGAAATATGTAATAGAAATGCTTTCTAACTCTTGCATATTTCAAATTGGTAGTTGTGATGTTTTGGCTAAAACAAAGACCAACTAAGACCAATTATATGAAGTGTCCTTCTTGATAAGAATCTGCACTAACTCTTGAATATTTGTGTGTCAAGGAATGTTTCTTGACAAGAGAATGTTATATGTCAAGACGCCAGTGGGAGTATTAAAGATCTTGAAAAATTTTAAGAACTAATCAAGAATAAACCTATTTTTTATCACAAGAACGTGACTTGAGGTTTGTAACCTATCGTGTTGACATATTCTTGTTTCTATGCCCATTCCAGTTAAAGTTGACTATGCATGTGAGTTCTGAGTTCTCAATTGATTGCATTAAGAAAAGCACCCTGATCGATGAAGCACCTTGAACAGTGAAAGTTTAGTGATCAGTAAGAGTGATCTTCTCAACAACTTGGAAGACATGCTAGGCCCTTGTGCTGCTAAATGGCAAGAAATTAAGATTGAACAAGTTTAGTTCATATGAGTTTGATTTTGTCATAGACCTTGTCGAATGCTAATGGTTACAAATAACAAATTCACATGGATAGGAACATTTACACCATAAAATCCATATGTCATAAGGTTTCTCTCCAATTCATAAAAATGATTGTGAGGAAAAAGCTTCACTAAGTAGATTTTAAGGAGATAGTAGTTGCATTAATTGGATTCTTAAATTCGATTATGATTACGTTATCCCTCTTCATAGTTCAAATAGGGAGAAATGGAAAATAGTTTGAACATTAGGAACTTATTATTGTAAGTTCTTAAATAGTTTATACACATATGAGCTTTCTTATAAATGGTGTATGAGCTTAGATAAAGGCTTATCGATGCATCTCGTATTACAAATCTGAACTTTGGAAAGAAATTCAATAAGTATTGATTCCTAGAAGTCCAGCTGATTTATGGGTGCATGTCAAAGCTAGTGGAAGTGTAAGGTCGAACCTTATAATATGATGATGTTTGAAACTGATCCCTCAGCATCAACATATAATCCAGCGTCAGCATCAGCATCAGCGTCAGTATACAAGTTGTTCAGTATATATATTGTTTTTGATGTAACAGATTTAGTATTTATCTTGTTTCCATAGTTATCATATATTAGTTAGCTGGAACACCCCTGATTTGTAGGGATTGTCTATAATAGTTCTATATAGTCTTTTGTACGGGTTTGTGAAAAGGTTGTCTTTCACAAACCCTAATAGCTGCTTTGTGCGAACAATAATCTCTTTGTGAGATTATCATTCTTAGTGAAAGCTCTTTGTGATACTTCATTGTTCTGTTCTTATTATTAGTCATTGCTTGATAAATCGATTGATCTAAGGTCCTCTCAATTGGTATCAGAGCAGGTTTCTTTTATCAAACAAATGGCTTCATCCTCTTCCTCTTCAAACTCATCAAATCATCCTTCTGCTAAAATTCCTCCGTTTGATGAAACAAATTTTGCTATGTGGAAAATAAAGGCTCTCTATGGATTAGAATCTGTAGATGAACACATCTTGGACATCATTGAAAAAGGTCTGTATGTTCCGATGTATCAGACCCTAAAAAACAATGTTCCTGATGGTGCCATGAAGAAAACACCTAGAGAAAACTGGACAGCAGATGACAAAAGAAAGAACGGTCTCGATGTTCGTGCTCGGGCTGCAATCAGCTATGCTTTGCCATACAATATATTTGGACTGGTTTAGAATTGCATCTCAGCAAAAGAGATGATGGACACGCTGATTGTATCTTTTGAAGGCACTAAAGAAGTCAAGGCTACTCAAATAAATGATCTAAACAGAAGGTATGAACATTTTTTTGCAAAGAAAGGTGAAACCCTAACTCAAACCTTTAACAGGTTTAATACTTTTGTTAATGATCTGCAGAGACTAGATCAGTTGAAGCATCGAACTGTTCTAGTGCAGAAGTTTTTGGATTCTCTGGGTGCAGGTTAGGAGAATCATGTTGATGTGCTGAAAAATAGTGAGAAGATCAACACTATGGACTTACAAAGTCTCTATGGAAACCTACGATACTATGAGGAATCCAAGCTTCAGAGAAAGGAGCTGATGAAGGATTCTCAACGTGAGTCATCAGTATCATTATTCTCAAACAAAAAGCAAGTGTCAAAGTCAGACACTGAAAACCATTCAGACACTGATTCTTCTGAAAGTGAGACTGATGATCTCGAAAAGGTTGTTGCTAGTGCGGCCTTGATTGTGAAGACTTTTGAGAAATCAGGCCGAAATTTCTCAAAGTTTCAGAAGAACATGAGTGGGAAATCTTCAAAAAGATCAGATGCTGACAAAAAACATGGTACAGAAAGGAAAGGGAAAGCTCAGTGCTTTAACTGTGGTAGCACTGATCATTTTGCAAAAGAATTCAAGAAAAGAACCCAAAGCTCGGATGAATACTGGAAGCAGAAGTACAACAAGTTGTTTGAGAAACTGAAAGTAGAGAACTTGGAACATAAAGTTCTTGTCGCTGAAGAAGAAAAATGGAAGTCTGATGAGGAGTCATTAGATGATGAAGTTAAGTGTCTAATGGTCAAGATAGAAGACACTGATGAATGTAAAGTCAGCAATAGTTCGTTTGATGCTGATATGTCTGATGCAGTTGGAAACTCCAGGAAGCACAACACTGACTCTCCTTCAATGTATCAGGTTCAAAACTTTGTTTCATATCCAATGAATGAAAAAATCAAAATGTTTGAGTATTTGGGTGTTCTTAATTCTAAGAAGAATCAAACCATAAGAGATATGCAAAATCAAATTGATCTTCTTAAAACTGAACTATCCTTAAAAAAAATAACATTTTTGACACTACTCAGGAAAATCTAAGAGTTACTAGTTTATCAAATTCCTCACTATCTGCTGAAATTGATAAAGTTAAAGACCTCTTGAACAAAGAACAAACTGTTTTAAAACTTTGGGCTAAATCTCAGAAAAATGCTAATTATGTTATTTCTACTCAAATACCTCATTCATGTGAGAAAATCCTTGGGGGAAATTTTGCTGAAGCTAACAAGGTTTTTAAATCTCAAGAAAAGGAATCTTAATTTTATTCCATGAATGAATTAAAAGATAGTTTCAAAAACAAATTTATCAGCAACACCTTTATTAATCAGAGTCTCATTGATGAACACTGTGTTACTGATTCTAATGGTGTTACTGAGTGTAATACTGAAATTACCGGAATTGATCCTACTTCTTACCCTGCACATCTTGTGAGACCAACTCCTCTCACTGAAAATATTATCGCATTTCCTATCTCAAACGAACTGTTTCATGTTGTTCATCAACAACTTAAACAATATCCTGATTGAAGTGTTTCAGTACATAAGTCTAAATCTGATACTGATGTCAGCTCCTCATCCATCACTGATTGTAGTTCTTCTGACACTGAATTCTTTAGTAATTCAATGTTAAATAAAAGGAATCAAAGTTCACTTAGTGAATCTTTCAAATATAAATGTGTTAAATCTAGAAATGTGTTTACCAAGAAAAACTTTGGTACTAGAATTTGCTACAGGTGTGGTGACACGACTCATAAAATCAATGAATGCAAGTTTGATAAAACATCATTAAGAGCTGATAACATCAAAGTTAGAAATGAAAAATGGACTCTGAAATCAAATTCTTTAAACTATCTTCCTAAAGAGTGTTATAATATATTGTCAAATAACTTTGTGAATGACCCATCTTATAATGGGTCAGTGTGTTCTAACTAGTTTCTCAACATTGCAGGGTCAGGAGCATCTTTGGTACTTAGATAGTGGTTGCTCAATACATATGATAGGATCCAAGTCTCTCCTGGAAGACTATGTCAAGAAGACTGGTCCTGCAGTAACACACGGAGACAATGGAAAGGGGTTTACTAAAGGATATGGAAATATCAAGTGCAATATTGTGGTGTTTCAGAATGTTTCATATGTAAAGGGTCTCAAACACAATCTCATCTCAATCAGCCAATTGTGTGATGCTGATTATGAAGTCCAATTTACAAAGAAGGAAGGAAGAGTTGTTAACACTGACAAGAACATTGTACTCTCAACAAGTAGAAAATATGATATATATATATGTTCTTGACATGTTCTCAAGTGACAAGGTGCTGATGCAATGTTTCTTTACAAAGTCTCAAACAATTCTCAGCTGGATTTGGCACAAAAGGGTCTCTCATTTGAACTTTAAGAATCTATCCAAAATATCCAATCAAGATCTAGTTAGAGGTCTCCCAAAACTCAGCTTTGTCAAAGACAAGATGTGCTTAGCGTGTGAACAAGGAAAACAAACCAAGTCGTCATTCAAACCCAAGTCATGTTCTAGCATATCTGTTCCTCTTCATTTACTACACATGGACTTGTTTGGACGTATTCATGTTCGTTCCCAAGGAGGAAACAAGTATACTCTAGTGGTTGTGGATGAGTTTACTCAATTTACATGGGTGGTTTTCTTGAAGAAGAAAAGTCATGCTGCACAGGAAATTATCTCACTGATTCGTAAAAATGAGACACTGTCTGCTCTAAAAGTTAAGCAGCTAAGGAGTGATCATGGCACTGAGTTCTGGAATTCAACTCTTGAAGAATTTTGTGATTATAAAGGCATTGGGCTGAACTTTTCAGCTCCTCGCACACCTCAACACAATGGAGTTGCTGAACGTAGAAATCGAATACTGATTGAGGCAGGAGGGACCTTAATGATTCATGCCGGTCTTCCTATGTCGTTTTGGGCTGAAGCTGTTAATACAACATGTTATACTCAGAATCGATCTCTAATTCATAGGATTCACAAGAAGACACCATATGAGATGCTGAAAGGTCGAAAGCCGGACGTATCCTTCTTTCATGTGTTTGGAATCATTTGTTATATTCTTAATCAGCACGATCCAAGATCAAAATTTGAGCCTAAGGCTGACAAAGGTATTTTTTTGGATACTCATCTATTTCAAAAGCTTTTCGTGTTCTTCATGTGAACAGGCAGTGCATTGAAGAATCCATTCATGTGAAGTTTGATGAGGAATCATACACTGATGAAAAAGTAGCTCATTCTTCCTCTATTTTTCAAGAGCTTCTCTCTTGCCCATATGATGAAGTTTCTCATACTGAAGAAGAAGCTACTATTCTCGATCCTATCATTCTATATCCAAATTCCTTCAATCAAGATACTGCGGTCAGCTCGACAACTCATTTGTCCGATGCTAATGAAACTCTTGAGAATGAAGACTCTCCTGCAACTGATGTTCCCTTCAGCAATAAGACATCAGTGTCAAATCTAGTGGAATTAGCGTCTGGACATCAAGATCACCCTGTTAATGAAATTATTGGGAATCTTCATGATGGTGTCCAAACCAAATCTCGTGTATCTAATAATTTTTTCATGTATGTTAATTTCGTTTCGATGATTTTACCTGACAAGATACACTCAGCTCTTCAAGACGTTGACTGGATTAAAGCCATGCAACACGAGCTGAACGAGTTCGAAAGGCACAAGGTTTGGACCCTTGTTCCTAGACCATCAGGAAAGACCATCACCAGAACACGTTGGGTCTACCGCAACAAGGTTGATAAAGATGGTATCATTACTCGCAACAAAGCAAGGCTTGTTGCTCAGGGGTTCACTCAAATTGAATCCATCGACTACAGGATGACTTTTGCTCTAGTTGCTCGCATTGAAGCAATTAGACTGTTTCTCACATATGCATCATACATGAACTTCATTGTCTACCAAATGGATGTCAAAACGGCATTTCTTCATGGTGAGTTACAAGAAGAAGTATTTCTCAAAAAGCCCCCAGGCTTTGAAGACAAAGAGCACCCTGACTATGTGTACCGACTAGATAAAGCTGTATATGGACTGAAGCAAGCTCTCAGGGCCTAGTATGAGACACTGACATCATATCTTCTTGAAAATGGCAACAGAAGAGGAGCAATTGACAATACTCTCTTCATCAAACAGAAAGGCTCAGAACTGATTCTTGTTCAAATCTATGTCGATGACGTCATCTTTGGATCTCCAAATGAGAAGTTGAGCAAAGAATTCGCTGAGATCATGTCTCAAAGGTTCGAAATGAGCATGATGGGGAAGATGAATTTCTTCTTAGGTCTTGAAGTTCAGCAACAAAAATCAGGTATTTCAATTTGTCAAAGTAAATACATTGCTGACATGCTAGTTAAGTATTCTCTCAGCGACTGCAAACCAGCTTCTACTCCGGTGTCCAAGACTGATAAGCTACACGCTGATCCCACCGACGCTGATGTTAATCACTCGCTTTATCGAGGAATGATTGGATCTCTTCTCTACCTCACTTCAATTCGCCCTAATATCATGTTTGGAACCATTCTCTGTGCTAGATTCCAAGCTAATCCCAAGGAGTCTCATCTTATTGCAGTCAAATGCATCTTTCGATAATTAAAGGCCACTCAGAACTTGGCATTGTGGTACCCTCGTGACTCAGCGCTTCAACTCTTTGGATACATTGATTCCGACTATGCAGGTTGCAACTTAGACAAGAAGAGCACGTCAGGTGGATGTCATTTCCTTGGAAATCGACTAATTAGCTGGTCCAGCAAGAAACAAACCTTAGTAGCTATCTCCACTGCAAAAGCTGATTATGTTGCAGCTGGGAGATGTTGTGCTCAAATCCTACGGATTCAAAATCAACTTTTAGACTATGGGCTTAAATTCACAAAGACTCCTATATTCTGTGATAACACCAGTACCATTCAGATCACACAAAATCCGGTTCATCACTCAAAGACAAAGCATATAGAGATCAAACATCACTTCATCAGAGACAATGTTGAGAAAGGCAAGGTTGTTTTAACACATGTCAAGACTTCCGATCAACTAGCTGACATTTTCACCAAGGCCCTGGATACTCAAACTAATGCTCACATCATTGGCGAACTTGGAATGATCACTCTCGATTGAAAAATTGTTTTACTAATGTTTGCTATTGTCTTATAAACTAATGTTTTTTTTTTGTGCTGATGATGATGCGCTGATGATGTTTAGCATGTTGAGTACATTGTATGATATCTTATCTCTATCTCTTCTACAAATCTTCTAAACTAAAGTTGAATAATTCACTGTATTAAACCATACACTAATAACAACTTGAAACTCTTTGCCGATGGTTAGACAAAACACCAAGCTCTATCACACGCAACTATCCCCTCTTACCAATCTTACACTGATTTTGTGATTCGGTGTGACAAAACACATACTGATGAGAATCTAAAAATCTTTGCCGATGGTTAGATAAAACACCAAGTTCTATCACACGTAACTATCCCCTCCTACCAATCTTACATTGATTCTGTGATTCGGTGTGACAAAACCCATACTGATCAGAATCTAACAGTCTTTTCCGATGGTTAGACCAAAACACCAAGGTCTATCACACGCACCAATCCTCTCTTCACCTTCTTCATACTTAGTGTCTAATGATTCAGTAAGAAATACCACTCATTGATAAAGACTCGACACTCTGTGCCGATGGTTCGATAATTAAACTAGTATCTATCACACGCACCAATCACCTTGCTAACCCGAAACAAGCAAGTTGTACCTTGAATTGACGACACACTATCTTTTAGCATGTAACTTTCCGTGATAATAATCTCAATGCTTCTGCAGTCACTGATTGTCGTCTCTTTTTCGGTACAACGGCTCTATTTACCCAACGACTATTTTTTTTATTTGAAAGTCTGTCAAGATCCGCAGTTATTTTCGATAAAGATAATGATTACCATTTTTGTAACCGTTTCATTCCCTATTTAAACCTTTTCACCTCTTCCCCAAACCTTTTTACCTTCCTCCAAACTTCTCTCTCTCTTAAAAAAAAAAAAAAGGAAAACCCTAGAATCCTAAACTTTTTCATTGGCGGCATCACTGTTCACCTTCTCCTCCACTTCAAGAAGACTCATCCCAGCTCCAAACTCTCCTCCTCTTCCCATATACATCAAAGCCACAAACGTCGTTTTCAACCCTGATATACCAGATGTTCATCGAGGTCTTGGACTTGATGATTTTGTCAATTTCTTAGTCTCCTGCAGACTTCGATATGCAATCAGTGACGTTCCATCAGAGTTCTTTCCCGAACAAGTATGTGAGTTCTACTACACTGCAATGATGAATGATGAAAACAACGTCATCTCCGGGACTATTGGCCATGGCAGACACTCAGTTTTTATCACCGCTGACCTCCTCAGTGCCGCACTCAGGTTACCAATCTTTGAACCATTCTCTGAGCTTCTAACTATTGAACACTGTCGACGCCTCTTTGATCAACTGGGCTATGATCACTCAAAGGCTGGTGCTTGATCAGCTCTCATTCTGTGTCAATGTATGACTCCAGGATTAAAGTTCTTCACCGGGGCTCTGTGCAAATGTGTGGGTCACAAATCTCGCAGTGGTGATCAACTGAGCATTTATGAGCAACAAGTTGTCTGTTCCCTTCTTCTCAACAAACGTCTTGATTATGGGGCTTTCTTATTTGATCAACTTGTCCAACTTCTTTGTGAAAATGTACGCACTGATCATGTCCCCTTTCCACGCTGGAGTGCTCTTGTGATAGATAAAATTTTCACTGAAGCTTACTACTCCCACTATAGAAACCCCATCCAATGCCCACACATGTCAATGCGAATGTATCAGGATGATCCAATGGAAACTGACATCGGCATCTCTAATCGAATGAGAGAATGGATCGCAAATCCATATACTGTTCCTTCACTAACCGCTGATATTGATGAAGGAGCTGATGGTAACAACGAAGATCATGTTGATCAACAAGCTGAAACATAGGACGATGTTCATCTCTCCCCTCAACTTTCTCATCATACTCTCTCTATCACTGAGAGAGTTCACTCAGCTCAAGGGGAGCAACCATCTCAGGGGGAGCACCCATCCCAGGGGGGAGCAACCTTCTCCGGGGGGAGCAACATCGCTCACAAGAAGTTCCAGGTACTCAATTCCTTCATATACCGGCCTCATCATTTAATGAGCTTTTGACACTGACTCGGGACATTAGTCAGCGTCTTCTACGAATTGAGGCCGATGTCCATCAGCTGAAGGGAGTTCTCTTGGCAACTCCTTCTCCTGGCCCACAACATGATGATGATCAAAAAGGGGGAGAAACTGATGATGATCAAAAAGTGGGAGAAACTGAATCTATTGAGCTCGGATCTGAGGATAACATTTTAAACCAGACTGAGCAACCACACCCTGTGCACGAGTATGATAGACTAGCTGCTGACAAGTCTGATAGACTAGCAGATACCGAAAAGCTTGCTGAAGATAGTGAGCATGATGATGAGTGTCAGATGCTGGACATGAACTTCGTTGATCCCACTATTCCAGTTCAAGGAGAATCCTCAGATGATAATGAAGATGAACATGATGATGACTGTCAAATGCTAGATATGAAATTCATTGATCCCATTGTGCCAGTTCAAGGAGAAGATTCAGATTTAGCTAGTGAGGATATTCAACCTCTATCTCGCAAGCGCAAGGCAGCAGATACTGAATTGGCTGTTTCACACACCGATACATCTCTGCCTAGCAAGAAACCTAAGTCCATCGTCAACATATCCAACTTGGCAGTTGAATGGAACATGTCTCCTGATCAAGTTAAGCAAATTCTTGATGAAGCCAATGAAGCTCAACTTCTAAAGAATATTGCTCAAGCTGATGAATCTCTCATTCAACATAAACTTCAGGCCAAAGGATCCTTTGAAGCTTAGATGAAAAAGTTCTTAGAATATCAGTCCAAATCCAAATCTTCATAGCCTCCTCCTAGTAGCAGCAAGTCAAGGACTAAAAATGTTCTCGACATGATTGATCGCAAGAGGTTTCAAGATGTTCTTAAGTGACGAGTGAGCAGTGATAAGATCATCAAAGTTAAAGCTTCTAAACCTCGTAACGAGAAAATTCTTACTTTGTTGATCACTCGTCAAGGTTCTCAACATCCATACACTGAAGTTGTCAAGAGGGATGAGCTGATCAGATACAGATATTCTGAATGGATGGAATTGCTCGAATTAGCATCCAAGCAAACTTCGGCTCTCTCTTCAGAACTGACCTGTGCTCTCTATTTACAGATCAAGAAAGTTCAGCATCTGGATCTTGTTCCTATACAACGTTCTCAGCAACAAGGCCAAAGTTCTTCAGTTCGAAGAATCAGAAGGACCAGATTTCAAGTTGATAGTGAAGATGTGTTAGTTCTAAATTTTGGTGCTGAAGGAATAAACAACTCTCTTCCTATCGGTGTTGCGCCAGTTCAATATAAGTTCATTTCTATTCCTAAACATGGAATGTTTTATCTTGATAAAAATAGAAGAATGTGTTTTCAGCACACCACAGAAATTCCAAGAGCTCCAACATCACATCTTGTTGGCTTAATACAAATTTGCATGAGTCATCAAGATCTATCTGGAGAGTTTCACATATTGATTGCTATGGAGTTACTGATTAGAAGACAGGAGCTGCTGGATAGTCCTTACTGGCCTATGAAAATAGAAGCTGAAGCTAAGTATGAAGAATTTTTGTCCAGAGGTGTTCTAGTATAGCTATTGTTTTGAACATCATCATATTGGGGGAGATTGTAAGGTCGAACCTTATAATATGATGATGTTTGAAACTGATCCCTCAGCATCAACATGTAATCCAGCGTCAGCATCAGCATCAGTGTCAGCATACAAGTTGTTCAGTATATATATTGTTTTTGATGTAACAGATTTAGTATTTATCTTGTTTCCATAGTTATCATATATTAGTTAGTCGGAACATCCCTGATTTGTAGGGATTGTCTATAATAGTTCTATATAGTCTTTTGTACGGGTTTGTGAAAAGGTTGTCTTTCACAAACCCTAATAGCCGCTTTGTGCGAACAATAATCTCTTTGTGAGATTATCATTCTTAATGAAAGCTCTTTGTGATACTTCATTGTTCTGTTCTTATTATTAGTCATTGTTTGATAAATCGATTGATCTAAGGTCCTCTCAGGAAGCTTAAGTGTTATGTCAGAAAGAATATAATTATCATGATAATGGAATCATGATTATTATGTGAAGTGTTGCAAGTTAGCAATGCTATTTATAGGAAACAAAGTTCTAATTTGCAAAGTCAGAAAGTTTAAAAAGTTTTTTCGCTATAGTAAGGGTGAGGATACTTATACTTTATTTCAAATCTAAAATTTTAGATTGAAGTGTTAATCAAAGTTAGTCAGGGATATATATATATATATATATATATATATATATATATATATATATATATATATATATATATATACATGTTGAAATGCTTCAACATTGTAAATTCTATATTTGGAAATATTATAGTAGGAGACTGGCCAAGTATCATGTCTTTATGTAATAAATTATGAATCGTATCCCATATGCCTTGGGTATAGGATCAATTCCATATGCTATAATATTCACGTGTTTATTTTTCCAAGTACCTAGGGCATTAAGAGGGAAAAACGACTAGAACCGGATATGACTAAAGTGGTTAAACAACTGTCAAGGACAATCTAAGGTTCACTAAAGATTGGTCGCTTGTAGTTAGAAGTATGGTAATGAATGGACCATATTGACACTATTATGAATACACATGATTCTATTAATAATGAGTCATCATATGGCAATGTTTCCATAATGGGATTTTGATATAAAGAATCTATGTGTAGGTTAGAAACTTTTATGCAAGAAGGATGTTCAAAGGAATGTGCTTTGAATTTGAAACTTTGCTTCCTTGGAATCGTTTTTTTATTAATATCCAGTGGAATTCTTTCTAATATTGTTGGTAAAGTCTCTGTGACTTTGGTACCTCGACATTACAAAAAGGTACATTGCATGATAGTTTACAATCTAACACATTCTTATAGTGGTACGAATTAGGTTTCCTTACACTAAGTAATAAGGATTTGGAATTTTGAAATGAGCATCATTGAAATATTTTCAATTGATCTATTTCACATAGTAAGGACTATAGACAAACATAGTATGCATGCTTGGAGCATGGGATGACTATTTCTTTAATTCAAGTATTAAGTTGATAAATCGAAACATTTTACAATGAATAATGTGTAATCAATATGGTGATTAAATAAAAGGTGTTTTATTTATATTCAAATGTTTTGAGACCATATTGAATTTGATTTTTCTTGTGTTTCACTTTGCATGTTTTCACTTCCCGAATAAAAAGATTATTCAAACTATCCGCAATCGATCATACTTTGGAAGTAGGTATTGAGGTAAGATTGTCATGAATCTGACTGTAGATTGTCTAAGTGTTTTAGGCATAGCACAAGTTTGTTGCGATGTTCATGAGTACTCCTGTAATAAGATTCGAGTATTGGATTAAACCCACGCTCATCTGAATCACATCATTGATTTTATCATGAGTGACTGGTGAACGATAATATCTTATATTCTTGAAATGGAGATATATAGTTGCAGTTTACAAATCAATTGCACATTGATAATATGTAAAAGCACCAGTAACTTGGAGTTATAAGACATATTATTGTGTATGATTAGATGAGTAAATAGAGCAAGTATCTGAGTCAAAGATTGTCCATTCCTTTTACCCTTAGAAGGATAAAAGCGATATATGTGGGCCCCTCGATGATTTAGTGATGACAACCTTAAGCGCTTGGCCCAGTCTGGACTGATTTGATTTGTTTAATTAGTCAGTCGTCGTAAATTAAATATCGAAAAAACAAGACATGGGCAGCAAGAATGATTATAATCCATGCCGCACGTCCATTAGATATCTAGAATGGAGGAATATATGAACCCTTATCTAATGGATGCGTCACTGACTAGGTCAGAGTTCGATAACGACTTTTAAGAGATATGATTTCTAGTCGGGATTTTGAAGTCGTACTTGCAATAATAGTTACAAGACTTATCAAAGAGGTAGACTGTTGGATTACGTGTCTAACCCCATAACTATAATAGGTATGTACTTCACCCAAGAGTAGCATGGTCCATTGTGGGTTGCATTCACCAGAACAATTTGATAGATGGATATTTGAGAAAGAGGTGATTTGTGATTTATTAATATATTTTATAGCGTGAGCATGTGAGGGTAAGAAAAGGGCCAAGGAGCTTAAGTGTGTGTATTCTAAGGTGTGAAAGAAACTATAAAGAGAAGAGTGTGTGACGTATATGTATGAAGCTTCGCTCATTTCATTGAATACATCATAGATTCATCATCTTCTTCTTCTCCTTCTAATCTATTAGATCTGAAATCATCCGTTTGATTGGCATTCCACACCATGAAACGGATCTGATTGACACACAAGCAGATTGGGG